CTTCCTCCTGTTGTAGCACCACCTTATTTTCCCTTTCTTTTCTCCCTCCCTCCCGTCTCTACTTCATTCCTTCCTCCTGTTGTAGCACCACCTTATTTTCCCTTTCTTTTCTCCCTCCCTCCCGTCTCTACTTCATTCCTTCCTCCTCTCCTTCCCCTTCCTTCTTCCCTTACCTTTCTCCTACTCCTACTCTTGCTCTTCCCCTCCCTACCCTCTCTCCTTCTGTTCCTCTACCTTCCATCCTCCTCTCCTTACCTCTTTCTTCTTTCCCCTGTCTTCCTTTCATTCTCTCCTCCTCTTTCTCTTTCTTTTCTATTGTTGTAGGAGTCTCTTTCAAATCTCAGTTTATGTTTCCTTGGGGTGGTATTTCCGCAGACCCAAATATAATTTGGTATTATTTCTTATTCCTTTACTTTCGCTAATCTATCCTAACTATGTTCCCCTCCTTTATATCTCGCTATTAAATATACTTATACATTATTTTCTTTTCCCCTTCTCCCCCCACCTTTCCATTTAATAGTGCATCATCTGGGTTCTGTATCTTCTCCTTACTTTCTTTTCTAGTTTCCTTTCTCTAGCCAATCATAAAAACTTCCCCATGTCTCGATACACCGATTCCTTTTTATCCTTTATTTTCAGTGTCAACCTATTCATCTCTGCACGATCTAATATCTTTTTTATTATCCCTTCATCTGTTGGTAGCTTATTTAATTTCCAATTTTGGGCAAATACAATTCTTGCTGCTGTAGTTACATGTTTAATCAAATAAGTATCATCTTTCTTGAATTTCTCCAGGATAATACCTAGTAAAAATATCTCTGGTCTAAATTCTATTTCTAGTTGTAACATTTTATTTAGCCATACTCTTATTTTACTCCAATATTTCTTTGCTTCTGCACATGTCCACCACGTATGATTATGAGAACCTGTTGCTTGTTGACACTTCCAACATTTTGCTGACTTGTCTTTAAACATCTTTGCTAATTTTTCCGGTGAGTGCGCTATTTTATAAAACATTTTATGTAAGTTTTCTTTATAAGCTGTTGGATTTGTTGTAATTTCTGAGCCCTGGTCAAAAAGATTTAGCAAAGATTTAGCCTGGAGAAAGATGTCTATCTGGAAAATGCTTTCCAGAAAAGGATGTCCACATCACATTAGCTATAGCAAGCTACACACGCCATATAATTCTGATTCATGTTCCTTCTCAATCCAGAGCTGAGTGGATGACTGAGTATTTTCTTTCACCCTAACCTACCACACAGAAACTGTGATTTAAAAAAAATAGGAAGGACAGCGAAAAGGCAGATTATAAATAATGAATGAATCCATTTTTATTTCTTTTTGAAAGGTCATAATGCATAATACATCCATTAAACCTGCCTTCTAATGTTCCACTCTCTGAAATTACCTTTCCTATTTGAAGGTCATCTTCTCTAGCTTTCATATGACTTCAGCCTCCTCTCCTCTCCTCATTCTTTATCTACTTGTTTTCATGCCAGTTTCTACTGTTCCATATTAGAATTTGGTTATAATTTTCAGCATCCCATCTTCTCAAAAAAAAATTTGTCATTTCTAGTCTCACTGAAAATACCAGAAATGTGTTAAAATGTGACCCACTTTGATGCAGATTATACCAGGCTTCAAATTTGGAGACTATGGTTTCTATTTGCACCTTAGGCACAAGGCCAACTGGGTGATCTTGGGCCATTTGCTCTTCAATATATGATAGTGTGGCAGTTGAATTATACTTCAATATGTGATGACTGAAGCAAATTATGTTTTAATATGTGTTTCTCTACAATACATCCTATGACACAGCTTGTAGTGTAAATGACGTATTTACTTGAGCATCCATTTAATCATTCAGATATCTAGTTCATGTCATATATGAAGCCTTCGGATGATTAAACATTCAAGTTCTGGCCTTCAAGTTCTTCAAGCAGATTATGATGCTGTCAAATATGCAAGTTCAGCTAAATTAATAGGTATGGGAACTATGTTTATCCCTAACCTGGTTTTCTGTTCTTATGTGTCAGATCATCTAGGGGTGTCAAATTGGATTTCTTCGAGGGCTGGATCAGCATTGTAATTCTCCTCCATGGGCTGACAGAGATTGAGGGGGGAGATGGGATGGACGCCTCCTGCAACACCCTGTTGGCCAAAACGGGGTGCAGGGGGGCGCATATGGGCTCCTCTGCATCATCAAAACGGCCTCCTGCAGCACTTTACCAGTCAAAATGGGGCAAGGCGGCCTCCTGCACCTTTTTTTCAGCTTCCCTGGCCTCCAGCAGCCGTCTGCTGGCCAAAAAAGTAGGGGGCTGATGTAGCCCATTTTGGCTGGCAGAGGCACCGCAGGCCGGTCCTTTGATATTTCCAGGCCGGCCCCGCGAGCCGGATTTAAGCCTTGAGTTTTACACCCCTGATCTACTCTATACTTCCTGCAGCCAAACAATAATGTACAATCAATGTAAAAAGGCATAGGGATCAATTCCTCTTTTTAAAGCTTACTCTAATTTTATAAAATCAAGCATCATGGTGTTTCTAGTCTGGAGCTTTTTGAAGAATTATATCAACATTCTATCTAATTATCCCTGCTGCTTCCAGACAGGCATCTTGTGATATACCGGTAACAGCCTCCTGTTGCCTTGCTTTTTCCTAATTATGCTCCTAGAACATATTTAAGTGGTCTGCAAATACAGCTGGGAGGAGAGCAAGAAGGCACATTACGCAAGGGGGCACCTCGAAAATTCTGTAGCACAAGAATAAGGTCTATATCTACAGTACTAGAAAGGCAAGGAATTGTTTGAGGCCATGTGAATTTACTGAAATTACAAAGCTATTATTAAAGCAATCTTTGTCTTGAAATGAATCGTTCCAATACTTATTGTTACCTTTGGATATAAGAAAATTGTTCTGTCTCCCCCTTCTCCGCTCGTTAACAAACGGCAGGCAAACAAACTTAAAAGGAACTTTCTTTATCAGTTCTCGGCTCAGACTGGCTTTGAGCCCAAAAATAACATAAAAACAGTCTCTGACCAGATAACAGAATACAAAACAAATCTCTCTTACGGCAACACAAGTTGAACAAAATGAAAGCAAAGCACTTCTTCCAAAGTCTCTACGAATCAGGGTTACAGAAATCANAGTAGCCTGCAGTACTGCATTCTAACCACTGCACCACTGCAGCTCTTGGAACTAAAACGTCAATATTTAAAACTTATAGAATGTTGATGCTTTAAAGTATAACAAACCTGTCACATTTCAGTAGAAGGAAAACACTGGGAAGAGTTAAATTACTATAATACCTGTTTTGGCTCCTGCAGGATTAGTGCCCTGTCCTAAAAGGGCAGAAGAGGGTGGGCTGGATGAGACAGCTTTTTTATCAAGTACTTTAGAGTTCTCAGATACTAAAATGAACAGAGAAAAGAAAAATAAATGAATTAACCATATCATTACAATCTATAAATGTGAGTCAGTTGCCACATCCAAACTGCGATCCTATGATTGTGGGGTGGTAATGAGAGGGTCATAAGTGGTAAATCACTTTTTCTGAAGCCAATGTAACTTTGAACCATTGTTAAACAAATGGTTGTAAATAAAAGGACTACCTGCACATGAATTAGAATAAGGCAAAAAATGGCAACATATATATTCCTAGATCAACATTCCTCCATCTTGGTACTGTAACTTTAAGATGTGTGAAGTCCATACATCTTATAATTGCCAAAACTGAGAGACAGTGTTCTAGATAATGCTGGACTGTAATTTCTAGCAATCCCAGTCACATGGCCAGTGGCACGGAAAGCGGAGGAACTCTAGTTCAGTAACACTCTAGAGAAATCACAAGTTGTATATCTGAAAACAGATGAGCTGCATCTGCTTAAAAAAATAACTAGCCTTCTCTTGTCTGGGAGCAGGTGTCAGGGTTTCAGTAAACACACAATCTAGCATTGAATTCAGCCCTTTAGGTGCAACAGAAAACAACCTCTGTGGAATTAGGGGGCCTAATGTAAGACATATCTAAGATATTCTCAGGCAGCTGTTCTCAAAGCATGATCTGGGGACCCCTGAACGGTCTCTGGGGCGGGGTGGTGTCTGCAAAGTCAAATAAATATTTTTAAATAGCTTAGTTTTAATTTCTGATACAGTAAATATTAATACAGGTAGTCCTTAACTTATGACCACAATTGAGCCCAAAATGTAGGTTGTCAAGTGAGAAACTTGTTCAGTGAGTTTTGCCCCATTTTACAACTTTTCTTGCCACATTTGTTAAGTGAATCGCTGTAGCTGTTCAATTAGTAACATGGTTGTTAAGTGAATCTGGTTTTCTCCAGTGATATTGTAACTTCCAATGGTCATTAAATAAACTGTTGTAAGTTGAGGACTACTGGTAGATGTAACCTACCTAAACCAAAGCTCTTGGGGGCTCTCAATAATTTTTAAGAATGTAAAGGGTTCTGGGACCAAAATATATGAGAACTGATGTTCTAGAGCCATGATGGTGAACCTATGGCATGCATCTCTTAGGGTACGTGAGCTGTCACCCAGTTCAGCTCCACCGCACATGCCACCCAGCTGATTTTCAGGTTTCTGCCGAGCATGCGGGAGATGCGCGTGCATGCACAGGGGATGGAGGGAATGCCCCCCATGGCCCATTTTTGGTTCCAGGAGGTTTCAGGGACGCTTTTTAGACCCAAAATGGGGCACAGGGTGTATGTGTCATAAATAGCTTTTGGGGTGGAGGCAGAGGAGGTATTCAGCCAGTTCTGACAGGTTCTGGAGAACCAGTAGCAGAAGTTTCGAGTAGTTTGGAAAATTGACAAATAGGCTGCCCCTGTCCCTGCTGCCTCCCAGCTGATCTTCTTTTGTTGCCCTGAACACAAGAACGGAGCTGGAAAGCAGGTTAGTGGAATGGGGATTTTGCAGTATCCTGCCCCTGCCACGCCCACAAAGCCATGCCAGGGCCACAAAGCCACGCTCACAGAACCGATAGTAAAAACATTGTAACTTACTCCACCACTAAGGAAGGACTATCTGTATTGTATTGTTTTCCTGATCTTAGGTTTAATACTGAAGCATTCAAACCGGATATTGTAAAGCTGCTGTATAGATGTATGCACACATACTGCTTCAATGATAGAGACTGGCAATTCATTGGAGGTGCAACTGGTGCAGGACATCATGTATTTAATAACACAGTGGACATAAAGCTAAGACAGCCTCACTTTGCTGACTTCGTCTGAACTCAGAAGCAGAATAAGATAAACTCTGATTAATATTAGAAGAGGGGGAATCACTTGGGAATTGCCAGTCTACTGAATAGGCTGGAAAATAAAAACACAACAACAAACCATCTTGGAAGAAAGGTAACACAAGCACTTATACAAGAACACTGCATGGAAAAGAATTTTAGTCAAGGGCTTTTTTCCCCTTATCTTTATTCCTTATTGAAGTCCCTATTTAATCACTGATATAAAACCAGAATAAACTTGCAATTCATAACATTGCTGAAATCAAAAGCCAGTAAGCTGTATTTATTTGTAGTTCAAAAGAAGCAACTTCAGAAAAGACAAGGCACAGCGGAGAGCAGAGCTTCTCATAATAAAGTGTTTGAAAGTTATTCTTTTTTTAAATCATGTTTTAAAAAGAAGTAATTACATGAACAAAGTACCACTTTGTACAAATGGCCAAAGATTTTAATTATCTGCTTAAAGTCTTTTTAATATGTCAATATAATGATCTACCATTTATTTCTTACAATTCCTAATGTTTTCCCCTGCAACATGTAGCTTTTAAAATGTTTTCCCATGTGTTCATGATCTATATCCTCAGTACATATGGAATTAACTTCATACATCATTCCACATTCTGATCACAGTTTTCAGTAAGGAGTAAAATCCGAAGCCAAACCCTTACAGTGGAAAGGTTTCACCAGTAGCACAATATCTGAAATTGCTCCAGTTGCATCAATGAGGAGTCATGGCTACTGCTTCTGGTAGGTGCCCTCATTACAACTTTGCTTTCTTTGAATACAGACTTCATATGGTGCTATAATATTTCTATTTATAGTATGTTCTTTAGCAACATCGTTCAAGAAAACTACAGTAATCACATTTTTAAAGGAAATCTGTAATAACATGTATACAATAGTTAAATTAAACATTAGATGGGTAAACAGTACTACGGCTTTAAATCTAATTAAGGCACCATTTCAATTTGAAATGGTGCCTTAATTGGAAAAATAAATTTTATAGTCATTCTGGCATCAAAAAGTTTTCTAAAAGTACAGCCCAAATGAACCATCTGGGAATACTATTCCAGATATAGGAAAATGAATAATGGCCTCATCCCCAAGCCAACATCCATTTATCTTCAAGGGGCAGGATATCCTGAAGAGACTCATGAGGAACACTTCAACATGTAGTAACTGTTTATATTACTCACAGGTAGTATAGGACACAATAAAATTGAGGTAGCAAACAACTGTGCAGAACTATGATAAAAAAGAAAAAAGCCTGACAGTTGCAATACACTTATTTAAATGTCTCCCTTTCCAGTTATTTCCTTCCATTTACTTTCTCCTAGTTTTCATATGATAAACTTGCTGATATTCAACTTCTTAAATACTCCATAAATGTATTATGCATAAGTAACTTTATTATTTAATATGAAAGATTCAGCTGTATGAGTAGAGATTTTGCCTTAAGTCTCTCTTTTTTTAAAAAAAAACAGTCTGGCAACAGACACAGGAATATATTATACTGGTTAGCTCATTCTGTATTTTATTGCATAAAATTATACTCTATACATTATAATCACAAATGATGTCTAGAATTGAATGTTATGGAAATCAGGGAACAGCCACTTCCCACAAGATTTCATTACCATACCCTTTTACAAGTAGAAATAAAAAATATTTAATAATCTGTTTCTTTCATACTCTTCTCCCAATCCCCAATAAAGAAGATTGTCTATGGTACTTACTTCCTGTCTCCAAACCTGCTCCACATTCCACACTTCATAATCATAGACAGACCAGAGGTGGATTTCAGCCGGTCCAGTCCGGTCCATGCGTACCGGTGCCAGAAATCCAGCATGCATTTGCGTACCAGGTCCTCCAGAAGCCCTGTATACTGAACAGTCCCTCCCCTTGCCTCCCCCCTCCGCTTGCTCCTCCTGCCCGCCCAGTCGCCGCTCTCTCCCTCTCTCTTTCACTCTGCCTGTCCACATCATGCTTGCCCTGCCCACCCACTTCCTTTGCCGGACTCAGCTGTTGGAAGAAGCCCATGCTTCCTTCTCCTTGACAAGCGCCTTGCAAAACCAGGATTTTGCAAACCACTTCTCAAAGAGAAGGAAGCGGGGAGGGGGACAGACTTCTTCAGATGAGCCCAGAAAGGCTGCTTTGCCTCCGCTGCTCTCCTTCCCGCACTGCAGACGTGGCCTTGAGGGGAAGATGTCCTACTAAGGCAACAACATCCCTTGGATGACAGTGAGGTGAAGCACCCTCAGCATATTCTGCTGACCTTGGGCGGCTGAGGTGGGTGGGTATGAAGCTCCAAAAGTCTGGCAAGAGGGGAGGGGGCGCCTGGTGGGTGGGGGGGCATAGCTTCCCTTTCAGCCTCCGAAGCTACACTTGGCCTGCTCAGGTCCCGGGGATGCTTTCCCAGCCAGCTGCCAATTTATAAACAGAAATTAGCCATCTTCTTTTAAACTTTCCATTTCAATGAGAATTTAAGAAGTTTTAGAAAAATTCTCATTGAAATGAAAAGTTTAAAAGAAGTTGGTTAATTTCCATTTATAAAGATCAGTGTGCGGACTGCTGACCGACCCAGCACATGGCCACATCGCCTCCCACAGTCTGGGAACTAACCAACCAAATAAGTAAATAAAGTTGGCTTCACTTCCTTGCGCAGCAAGAGAGAAAGTTGCCTGAAACACTGCTGGGAGAATGTCCCCTTTGAGTTGCCGGGACAGCAAGTTTCAAGGCAAAACGCAGCTGCTGGAATTGGTACACCTGCAACTTAATGCTCTCCGAGAAGCCTGCGTTATCGAGAGCAGCAGCAGCAGCGGGTGCCACCGCCACCTCTTCAGTGTCCAGCGTCCTCCTCAGGAGACTCGCTGCCATTTGTGCATCTCTCCCGAGCTTCTCTCGAGAGGCAACCACCAGCAGAGCCTCTGGGTGGAAGGTGATTGAAGGGTGCAGTGGCAGGAGAAGCTGGTCTTCCTCGAAGCCAGCTCTTGAGGAAGGAGGCAGAGATGAGGTCTGGGGCTCGCTTCCCTGCCTCCTTCCTCCGAGAACTGCAGGTGGCAGGGAAAACGAGGCTTCTTTGCCAGTCTCCCAGCTGGCAAAACAGAAATTTTCACCAACTGGAAGGTATATTTGTGTGTGTGAGAGAGAGGGGGGGGT